GGTATAAATATAAGATTTAGGGTAATAATATAAAGTGAGATAATTATACGATTGGATAAAAATAATGATAATCAGGTAATAAATTATAAAAATTAAGAAAAAGGGAATTTCGCATAATCAATGAAAGATTATCGAATTAGAGAAACTTATGTTACTACGGTAACAGTAGGTCTGCATTATTATTTCAAGCTGTCAATTGAGTGGCATTATCTCTTTCTCTTTTATCATATCAAAGGATAGCAGCATCTTCTAAATATTCATGAACAAGTTATACTTTTCTTGGATCAGTAATTCCATTGACTTGGGTAGCAATATTAAAGTCTTTTAATCATTCTGTAAGATCATGATCATTTTTATGATATTTTTGAATAGGAATAATGATTTTTTCAGTTGGATAATTAATTTGTTTGATTATTCTATCAGTTAAAATGCTGAAAAATTTACCAATTTGAAAAGTTTATAAGATTGTTAATAGTTGTAATGATAATTTGCTATAATGATACTGGATCTGAAAATTGGCAAATCAAAGATATATTTATTTGGTGTTAGTAATATCCATGGCTTGTTCATTCCAAAAAGCTATTACTAAACATCAAAATATTGTAATCAATTCATATTTGTCAATTAATTTTTTATTAGAAATTGATTGCCAGAAAAATAATTAATTTAGGATATAATATCTAAATATTTAGTGATCCAATTTGAATAAAAATATTAATATTTGATTTGTTTAGTCAAATGAATCAGATTATTAAAAATTGAGATAACATGTTCTAAATTGATTAATTAATTTTATTGACTCCAAAAAAATGAATATGCTTCTTTAAGACATAATATTTCAATGACCAGTAATCCGATTTGAACAAAAATACTAATATTATTACCATAGTAATATAAATTTCTCTAATTCAATAATCTTTCTTTGATTATATGAAATTTTTTTTCTTAATTTTTACAATTTATTATTATTTTTATCCAATCGTATAATTATTTTACTTTTATTTTATTACTTGAATCTTATATTTATATTCTAAATATCATATTTATTCTCTTTTTCTTATTTCTATATACTTTTATCACTCTAAATCTGAGATTTACAATTTTGTTCACAAATATCCTACTTTAATATTAATGTTTCATATATATAACTATATTATATAGATTAATTAGTTAATATATTTATAGATCCCTACTTTTATATTTAATTTCTTCTTTTATATTTATATTACACGAATAATTGATTTCAAAATCTTGATTTCAAAATCTTAATCTGAAATCCTTAATCTGAAATTACAAAATATATATATTAAATAGTATTGATTTGTAATATTATAATAATTTTTGTATTCAAAAACATATATAAAAGGACCTGCTCTCTCAAATTAAAATAAATAGTTTTAGTTGACTTGACGATTAGTCACAAATTAAATTGTTTAAAAAATATAATTAAAAAGCTTATTATTATAATAATAATAATCTTTTGATTTCTTTTCTAATTATACTAGTATCCTTCTCTTACTCAGTTTTATTTCTTTAACCATATAAAGTTGATTTTGAATTTTTGTTATAATATTATATTGATTTTGATTTAATATTTTTGACTTTGATATTTTGATTTATACTTTTTAATTTTTATATTTTGATTTTTATATCTTTATGATATTAATTTTGTTTAAATTGTTATTTTTATTTTTATTTTTTTAGTATTAGTATTTTACACTTTAGTTTAGTTTTTCTTTGATTAATAGTGGCTTACTTATTAATCATTATAAATCTTTTGGTTTATTTTATTCTTATCTTTATATTTCTATCTCTTTTTCAAATTACTTTTGTAATTTAGATCTTAGAACACACAATATCTGTAGATATTGGCACAGATCTTAGAAACCTTTGCTAATATTTATAATTTATTCTCTTTACTTAAGTTTAATTGCCTCTCTCCCAACATATATATGTGAACATACAACATCCAACATGGAAGCTTTACCAATGATATATATATGTCACTTTCTTCAAAAGAGGTAGTGATTTTAAATTAAATTGCCATTTAATATCATTATTGCTATATATATGTTTCCATATTTGAATTTTAAAACAGACTACAATACTGATACATACTTATAAATGGTTAAAAATAACTTGTCTTTCCTAGAACATATCAATAGTATACAATATTTTAAATGTTTTTAAAAATTTATTCTATTAGAATCAACTGACATACAAAAAGATCAATCTTATAACAGTACACAGTCAAACCGTGAAGTACTAACTAACCTAAGCTTGGGGTTGTAGCCTGTGTTGCAACTAATACAAATCGAAGGCTCAATTACGGTATTACAACAATCCGTAATGTTGTAATATTATAGTATGCCATAATGTACTATTATAGTGAACTTGAGTTCAAAACACAATCTATAATAAATTCTCTCGTTGTTGTGAATTTATTAATAAACTCTGGGTATAGTGAATTTTCTCTAATAACGGGAATGAGTTGTGTAAAATAACGGTTAGGACTAGCTGCTTAAAGTAGAAACTAAATTTCGAATATAGTAGAAACTTAGCCCTGCCCTGTGAGAAAAATTCACCTGTAAACCCTAAAAATCCCCGTAAATCAACATGTAACGGTAATTACAGGTGTAGATTTACAGAATTTACACATGTTCATATTAACGTATTATTAAAAGTATTTCCTTGCAATTTATCCAGATGTACCTTAGTGGTTATTGATTATCATTTCCTTTAATAGTTTTCTTATTAGCTGAAATTACTAGCAAATCTGGAACTCCACCTAGCGCTAGTGCTTTCCATTATACTAACCCTAAGGAATCCTTTTGTAACATTCACGAAACCATTAAGTAACCTGACATCCGCTAATGGTTTGGACATACAGAACAACTAGTGAACTCCCCCCGTTCTACTTGTGATCAGAATTACTTTAAATTTAAAATCAATAATAAGTTTATTTTCTGATATTTATTCGTGATTAATTACATATTTATTTAACGATAATTCAAATATTTATTCAGGGCTCTTGTTGAAGGTTGTAAAGTTGCATACTCGAAAGGCCAGTAGATTGCAAATTAACGATCTGGTTTCCTTGCAGATTGTGTGTCCCTTGAGGCAGGTACATTTCTTGACCAGGAGATGCTGGTAACTGGTTTACATAGACCGATTGCGGATTGGTGGAAAGTGCCGCACCTGTACTTCTAGTTTGTACCAAGTTAGAACTAGCGTCTGGTTGCTGAGAATATGGTGGCAAAGGATTTTGTTGCAGCATAGATGTCCCGCCGCTTAACGGTTGATTTGCGTTATTCGCATTTCTCACAAAGTTTTCAAGGTATCCAGCGTTTACAACATAATCTTTTAAAAAGAGTTCGAGTACATTAATTCTTTGTTCGAGACGCGACCTAATAGCATCATCGGATTCGGGGTTATTTGTGGTTGGAAAATTTCTGTTTGTAGCAGATGAAAGCAACGGAATTGTTGGAAATCTGGTGCGGATGTGGTTGTTGTTATAATTTGGGAAACAATATCTATGAATCAATCCCCAAGGTTGTAATGCATTCGTTCCTTTTAAATATCAAACCATAATTATAAATTATATTTTTAAAGAATTAATTAAGCTTTTTAAGAAAATATATACCAAATAAACAAGCATATACTCCTGTAGCAATCACCCATACGCCACCGAATAAACCAAGTCCAACGAGGAACTAATGAAAATCAGATTTGTGAAAAAATTACCTATACTAAAAAAGAATAAAATACACATACTGTTTTTGATCTTTTTAAATAAAAAACAAGAATTAATTATGAATTGTAAAATAATTATCAAACTGTAAAAACACTATTTAGTTACCTTTGCTCTCTAAATCTTTCTACCATATAACTTCGAGGCCTTATATCAATAACTGCATATTCTTTAGCGTCAAATAGTTCAGCCTGGGAATAATCAGGTTCTATATAAAATCAACAGATTAATGTTAGTAATTTTCTATAACCAACTTAATTTAAATTCAATTAATACCGAAAGTTGAGGTGAGATATGTTTCTTTGCTGTAACTTGCTGGAATTCCAAAAGCATTACTTTGCTTTCGGGGTATAATTTCTTTAATAGTCTGAGAAAATCGAAAATCATCATACTAAAATAAAAAATATTAAATTGGAACAATTCCATGATGAAATGCTCAATGAATAAAGACTATTCGTTTTCTCACCGTATGATACTTGATAATTTTTTTTTAAAAAAAATTTAGAGTTAAATTAAATCATTGAGAGAACCAATTTAAATAAACTAACATATATATAATAACGGTTTAATGCCGTCAAGGAGTATGTAAATCTTCGGCCATAGTCTTCTCTAAATTTCGCATAATTATCGATTTTATGTCTGTAGGGGCCGAATTCTTCAGTATAAATGGAAATAATTAGAGATTGAACTAGCTAGAGCACAGAAAATTTTAAGAATTTACCTGGATCGTAGGCTTCAAAGGTAATAGCGCTTAGTGTAGTAGTATTGTAAGTGCTATCTATCTTTATAGTTATAAGTATGACCAAATTATTTTCAGGATTAAACCTTTTTATATTGTCAAAACTTAGAAAGGCAATCCAGTATTTATCAAACATAATAGGTTGTTTGATATATGCAGAGAGATTGTCTTGACTTGCTGCCGTTAACGCTAAATAAAAAAATATATTAAATTTATTCTCGCTAAATATAAAATTTTTTCCTAGCTTACATTTTGAAACACATTCGATGCTAAAATAAAATTCAGCACTAAAAGAAATATCTATAAAAGTAAAGTAGATATTAATTAAATTGTTAGACTTCAGCTATTTGTAAAATAAGAACCTGGTATCGGAAGCGATTCTGCTTCAAACATGGTCTTTTGCAATACTGGCTCATCATCGCGTATATCGACAATTAAGAAAGCCAAGAATGTCACGAGAAGACTTATGATTAAAAAAGCGGTAATTCCCCGACATGCGACGATTGGCTTTGGCTCATTATGACGGTATCGATGATAGATTTCTTGAAAATACATCTTAATTGAATTCCTCTAGACACGTCGTAAAAAGCTTAGCTTAGTCTACACTATCTTTCACTTTTATATGGGCGGCAAATTTATGAAATGAATTTATCATAGACGTGCTGTAATGACATATATATTGCCATAATGGAAGAATAAAAAGAAAATTCCTTATGGATGGCGTAGGTTTAACAGGTAAATTGATACTGTCTGACACATACTGATACATGTACATGTAAAAAAGTTTGATTTAACATAATCCTATTTTTAGATCATTTCAATTTACGCAGCCATTATAAATACGTGAACATGTACATGAAATATACATGTACGTAACAGGTAATTACGTACAGGTATTTTTAATGATTTACATATACGTATCGATTAATATTAGAACAGTTCATGAAGAACGTAATCTTTTGATTACTGGAGTTTTAGAAGATGGAACTTGCAAAGCTCTTTTGGTTGATTTTTTGGATGTTGGTTTTGATTTTTGAGATGATGTTGTTCTTCAAATGTAGACGCTAATTTTTGAGACGTTGATTTTTTAGATGTAGGCGCTGATTTTTGAGACGTTGGCCTTTCAAATGTAGATGCTGATTTTTGAGACGTTGGCTTTTGAGACATTGACTTTGGAGACATTGGCTTTGGCAGCAACAAATCAATATTTTCTAGATCTGCCGTATCTATATTGATAATGTATAATTAAACAGGTATTATCATAAAAACAAATATTACGTATTATATACAAACCTGATACTTGATTATTATTGCTGGTTGCTTCATTATTATTTTGATTCAAATATTCTTCAATATCATTAAGTTCTCTTGAAATTTTGTTCTTTTCATATCACGTTGGATTTTAAGCTTTGGTACTCTTCTTACATATGTGGCTACAAATACATGTAAATAATAATAAAGCTAAAAAATCCTTGATTTTTAATCAATTTACATAATTCACTTACAACGATTTGTAACTTGAGCGTTAAAATATGTTTATATACCCATTGATTGACTCCAAAATATATGTATTTGTCATATGAGCTTTGTCAACAACACGTGGATCCATGTCTCTAATTGTACGTAACATTTTGTGATATGACCGCAGTTTCAAGTAATGATCAAAATAATTCCATTATTATGCAAATAAGAAATTTATCTGTTAAATAATAGTTAAAAAAAATTATTAAATTATGCGTTACTTACTCTGACTTTATTGAGATGTGCTGAATCAATATTTTTTTAAGAGGTATAGTCTTAATATTATTATTTTCAGCTTCAAGCTTGACTATTTTTTCCTTAAAATATCAACTTTTTGTGTTAGCGCGCTTTATAATGATTTTGATAAAACTTGAACCTTTGTTATATTGTTGCATCAGGTGAAAGCATTTCAGATAAGTCAGAATTAGATAATAGTTTTTAGAAAAAATTATAAGTAACATTGTTGTTTTTGTTTTTAATAATCAAGTATTATATATTTAAATTATCTGTTTTTTGCAATCTAATTGGTTAAATTTGTTGATTATAGTATCTTTATGAATTGAACTGAACCAGAACTTTTGTCTGAATTCAAGTTTAATTTGAAATTTGAACTGAACTTGAACCAGATTTTGGCTTGAATTCAAGAAAATTTTGAAGTTTGAACTGAACTCAAACTAAAAAGAAAAAAAAGAGAAACTCAAATAAAATTATATAAATAAGAAAATTTGAATTTTATCTTGCTTAAAAAAAATTTTTTTAAATAATTTTTTATAGCTCTTTAACCAGGGTAACCACCAGCCCGCCACCTTTAGCACGTGATTACACAAAATATTATTATCTTAACACGCTTTGTGACCTTAGAAAATTTTATTTCCGTCATCCTAAAGAATATAATGCCGAATATTTGAGTAATTCCTTGTTAAGATATTGATAAATTTCGGCAAAAAAACATGACCGTTATTACTTTCCGTGTTGACTGTATCATTAAAAGATTGATTTGAAAATGAAAAATGGATTATAAACAAAAATGAATTTGAAAGCAAAAAATAAATAATAAACAAAAGTGAATTTGAAAGTTAAAAATAGATAATAAACAAAAGCAAATTTGGAAATGAAAAATAAATGATAAACAAAGTGAAAAACAGGGAGAAAAAAGTAAATATTACAAATAAATTATTATGAATCTGAAATAAGAAGTATAGAACATTATACAAAGAGACTCAGATAAACAAAGTAAATTATCAAAATCGAGATGAGTGAGTCTCTCTGGAAATCATGAGATCAATGAAATTTATTATCTCCTGGTAACAATAGTAATATAAAATTGATTAATATTAATTTTAGTATTCTAATTGTTAATAAGAATAAACAAATTTAATTAGAATTTTAGTATATAATAAGTTGTTGTTGCTGTTATTATCTTTTTTTTGTTATTTCTTGATTCAATTTAATTTTTTTAAACTTATTATTTTTTCTATAGTTCAAGTTTTATTATATTCTTAGGTTTTTCATTGGCAAACTCAGAAGAGAGAATATTGATAACAATTTCAATTTCCTTTATTATTATTTTTTCTTCTAATATTTTTTGATTTATTTTGACCTTTACTTTTAAGTTTATTATTTCTTGATTGTTGTTATTATTGGATTTATTATTATTATTATTATTTAATTATGCTATAGTGTAGACTTGTTTGACTTTGCTTACTAGTCTAATTTACATGTAAATTTTAACGACAAGATAGAATGTGAGGTGATCTCGATATTGATACCATTAGTAATACATACGTTCGTATGTAGGTTAAGTAAGGAATCTACAATTTACGTAATTTTTCAAAATTAATTCATTAGTATCGACTATTCGTTTATAATTAGGTTTTTAGTTATTAAGATAAGCTGCAACACATTTTAGAGCAGTCTGAATTTGCTTTGGAGAACATAATCGCATTAGAAAACAAAAAAGCAACTTGCTTTACAATTTAGAAATTACCTCATTTATAAACCAATATTATTTGCTTGAATCACAACACCATTCGTCATTTAAATTTATTTTTCCATGAATTCAATTTTCTTCCAATAGGCCGTCCAACCAGATTGCTTAATAAATTGTTCCAAACATTCTTTTGCAAGATAAAGGGAACTATTTGAAATGTGTTCTAATTTCCACGTAAACTTTCGCTATCTTTATTTATTCAGCTTTGTGATATTTAAAATATTCATAGCAGTATTTATTTTGCTTGACAGCGAACACAATCATGAGTAAAATAAACATTCGAGCATTTATCGTTAACGCTAATGTTGTTTACTTTGAATTATGTAATAATTTCAACACAACTTTGCATTTCCCACATCGTTTAAATTTAATTTTTCTGTTATTTATAAAGGATGCATCCAAAGGATCTAATTTTCGCGCATTCTTTTATTAGACCGTCAATACCTTTATTTTCGACAGAGTATACTTCTTTTTATATATGTATTATGCTAATAAGGGTATTTTATTCTGTAAAATACGTATTGTGTTATCGTTATGAACATGAGTTCACTTTATATATACGGGTTTTGAAACAATAGTAAAATAATAATGATGATTTATATGTGTGGAAGTCAATTTCTGCTTTAAGAAATTGAATAACATAAAAAAATAAAGGAAGAGAAATATTAATTTTTTACTAAATTGTTAGTCACCAATTAAAAATAAAAATTTTAACTGAGTTACCATTCTTTTTAACTTGATTCACTTTGTCTTAATTCAATAAAAATGAAAGCTTTCCCTTTTATTTGATTCTCTCGACACGTATTCAATAGGACGTTTGCTGGTCGTTTTATGCTCTTTGAAATCTAGTGTTTGTCAAAAAAAATAATGTACAATATTTTAAAACGTTGAGACTCCGTCCTCGTTGTTAATGAAAAACTTACGCCGTGTCTGGATATTCTTTCGGGTATCTTTTCCATCATTCTCAACATCAATATCAAACTCTCGCGAGACATATGCTAACATTATAAAATAAAATATAAATAAATGCAATCAAAGTCGTGGTGGATAACTAATAAATTTTGAACCTTCATTTGTTTCATTATGAATATCTATATCATATTCAGTAGTCACATATTCTAGAGTTATATGCAAACAAATATGTTTAATATATTTTAATAAAAATAATATAACAAGTAAGTTTACCTTCGTTTGGAACAAACAAACTGATACTTGACATTCCTAAATATTCGATGTAATTTTTAATTAATGTGAAATGCTACATAATATGATTTATATTTCAAAATAAAGTACCTGTCTCAGTTAGAATTGACATTAGTTTTGTGGTAAAAATGCGACTGGTGTAAACTGCATTGGAGTGGATTGCTTGTTTTTTGTTCATATTCGTAGGAATGCTTTTTTGTAATTCCATCTCCTTATCAAGCTTATCTAATTTATGCTTTTTTAGTTCAAGACACTCAATAATTCTTCGCATGTCTTAGGAGATTCTAAAGAGCTGTAGAACTGAAAATGCAAAATACATATATTTGGCTTGTACTTGTTGATATCGTAGAGATCGTAGATAGATTTGATAAACTCAAAAAGTTCCTCAGCAGTTGGTCTGTTTTCTGGAATAGGATCCCAACATTTTTCAATAATAAATTTACACCATCCGGGAACTGTATTTGGTATCGTAGGTCGCACTCCTTTATAGATGTTGCATACAAGATATATACCGTGACATCGTTCACCGAATGGTCGTTCACCTGTGACAATCTCGTACATAATCATCCCAAAACTATAAATATCCGCAGCTTTAGTGTATGACTTTCCATTTAGTACCTCTGGACTCATATAAGGAAGTACTCCGCAAATATTTTGATCAGATTTTTCTATATTTGCTGGTATAGTAAGTCCAAAATCGGCAATTTGAGCAGTTTTAAACTGTATTAATATATTTCCAGGAGGAAAGTCGCGATGCACAAATTCTTCATTGTGAATTTTATTCAACCCTGTAATGATCTCAAATAAATGGATTAATTTTAGTTCCCAATTCAATTCTTCGTATCGGTATTTGGGATTCATATATTTATGTAGATCACCATCGAGTATTCATTTGTAGCTGGGTTTTTCGTTATCCCATAATATCTTATTACATAGACATCAGTGCACTTTAGAACAGTCGGAATCTAATTTTGAAAAAGTTAATTAGATTGAAAAAGCAATATGCTTACACTCAAAGGTGTTCATTTTACCTCATTTATAAACTCGGATGTAATATGCTTTGAGTTGTGTAATGATTTCAATACAACGTTGAGTTCTCCATCTCGTTTAAATTTATTTTCCTCATGATCCCACATTTTAGTCAATGAACCGTCCAACTAGAGATGGCGCAGCAAGTACGTGATGCTTATTTGTCACCTGTTGCAACACGTTGCAACTCCAAAATTTTATAAGCCACAACTAGTTGCAACTAGGTGATGCTT